AATGAATGAACAAATTTTATTTAAATTATTAAAAAATGTTATATACCTTATTTTTAAATTGTATAAAGATATATTTTTTATAAAAAGTTGCAACCAAAAAAAATTTTTTTAATAATATGGTAGTCTATTTAAAAAAGTGATTTTTAATCGTTTCATGCTCTGATTAGTTAGTCAAGTTATAAAAAAAAAAATTAAAAAAAAGAGTTTCTTTATAAAAAAACAAACAAAAAAAAACAAAAAGTGATCAAGTCATTCCATTGCTATGGAACTTATTCATAATTAAAAGTAACTTTAAAAAAATTATCTTTCAAATGATTTTTAAAAAGACATGGAAAATTAGTTTCAAACGTTTAAACTTATTATAAAAAAAACATGCCTACATAAAAAAAAATTGAATATAATATTATTTGTTAGTTTACACAAAATGTGTTTATACTAAACTATTGCTATAATTAATTTTTTATTTTATTTAAAGCCTTCTTCTAAAATAAAAACTTTAAAAAAGATCAACGATTAAAGGTCATTCTTATCATAACAACTTTTTTATAGCATTTGTTAAAACATCAAAATCCACTGTGGTCAAATTATAAAAAAATATATATAAGCTTGGTCAGTAACAGAGTGCAATCACACGCCATTCCTGTACAAGCCTGATAAAGCAAATAAAAGATTAATATATAACATTTTAAGAAAATAATAATCTATTTTAAATAGGAATTTAGATTTATTTATAACTTTTGTTTTAGTTATAATATAAAAGTTGATTGATTGAAAAAAAATGTATTTTTTATGTAAATGTAACTTTGTGTACCTGTTTTTTATGCTAATGTAATCTTATAAAGCAATTTTTACGATTTATTTTGTAAACAAAGACTTTAAACATTAATTGCATTTTCAATGACGTTAATATTAATCATCTAAGTTAATAAAACTAATTATAAAATAAACATACAAGAGTTTCTGGTTAATAAACACAAACATACATACAAAGTAACTCGTGGATGAACAGGCACTGCTGTACCACCTGAGGTCACGACAGAACACATATATAGAAAATTATTAGATATAAAGAAAAGTTTTTAGATATTGGTTTACTAACTTCGCTTCAGTTGCTATTCTTAAAAACTCATACTTTTTTCTGTTTTATATACTAACTAAAATTAAAAAACCCAATCACTAAACATCAGCGATATTGTGAAGCAGTTTCGCTTGATCGTCATAATGATTTTTAACTGTTTTAGTTGATTTAACATCTATAGTAACTCAACGATTTAATTATTTCATTTGATCATCTTACTGAGAAGAATTATTTCAAATATGTTAAACTTTTCGAACTACATGAAGCATGAAAGTAAAGTTATTAAAAAAATTAACTTTTTTATTTATAAAATAATTTAGCTTAAATAAACTAAAATTAGCGTTAGTTTTATTAGAATTTTGTTAAACTTATCGGGGCCGGGGGCTATTTTTATTTTGGAGGCCTTTTTATATACCACAGTGTAAAAATGACTAAAAAAAAAGGTCTTCCTGACTTTTTCAGGGCCTATAAGAATGCGGGGCCCAGGGATATAGCCTCTTCTAACCTTTAACCCTCCTTAATCTTGCACTGGAAATAAGACACAAGTATATAAATAAAAATTATATTACACTCTTTGATAAAAGAACATTTGTTTCCTTTTTAAGCAATTGTAAAATGTTACTTTATATAAAAAATATTGCTTAATTTTTGAAAAAAATTATAAAAGCGCGATGTTTCTAAAATATTTGTTCTAAACGTAATTTATTTTGCATTAAGTTTTTTCCCATTAAAAGATATTTTATTCACCTAGTTTTTTTTTTGGTAATTGTCTTTTGTTGGTCCAATTAATCTTAATTGCGCATTTTTTTTTTTTTTTTTTGAAATGGTCTCAAAAGGACTAAAAAATCTGGCCAGTTTTTTGCAACTAAATATTATTTCCATGGTCAGTAATCGAGAGCGATCGTTCCCACTTCCCAACCAAGACTACATAAACTGTTAAAAAATTATCATATTAATCATTTGCAATATATTGCTGCAGAAACCTCTGTACATTTTTTATTTAACAACATTTTATTATTAACTATATTTTACTATTACTATCAAACCTTCCTGGGAAGCGGGTACAGTTGCACGCCTTCCTTATCCACACTTAAAATAATTTTTTTAGACAACTTGACCATGTTTTTATATAGTAAGCGTTTTAAGAATTTGCGGCAAAATAAAGCTATAAGAAACTAGAGAATAAAACAGCAATACTCGAAATACGAAATTGAAAATCTAAATTAAATAAAATTAAAAAAAATTGAATATTAAAAAAAAAAATTGTTGTCAAACAAATAATATACCTAAATATTTTACTCTTTTTGTTTTCTTATTTTTAAGGAGTTTGCTTTTTTTCAAAAAGTAGATAAGAATATAACAAAAAAATAAAAATATTTTTTGATATACAATTTTTTTTGCGGCTTTTTTCAGTCAGTATATTAAGAAAATACTTTGGAAAATTGTGCTAGAAAAACAGACGATTTTTAAATTTGTTTTTTAAATGTTTTTGCTAAACTTAACTGTTTTTATCAATGCACAGGAAAGCGAGAAGCTAAATGCTATTTATTTGTAAAAAAAAATTTTAAACAAGTTTTTTATGTGAAAAAATGAAACGATGCTTCAAAATCTTGTGGGCTAGTGCATTGTTAATTTACTAAACTTTTTTTATGAAATCTTTAGGAGTCTACTTAAAACTTTTTTTCAAGTTTTTAAATATATTTTTTCAAACAGAGGAATTGTTATGTTCATTATCTCTTTAGAAATTAGACAATATAAAAGAAACATTTTCAGGCATGCATAAAATGCGGTAAATACATTTAGTAAAGAAACTATGTTATTCCTTTATTTAACTTTTTCCATCATTACAAAATTTATTAATGAAATAATATATTTTAACAACAATTAACAATTTATTTTTTTTATTTTCTATTATATAAGTTTTGAGAAAAAACAAAACATTTTTAAAAGCGAAAAGACGAAAAGACATTTTTAAAAGCGAAAAGACATTTTTAAAAGCGTAAAAACGAATAAACATAAAAAACAAATATAAGAAAAAAAAATTAAGAAAATTTTTTATAGTTCTAGTGTACATAGCAAATTAGTATCTTAATTATATGGACTCATAAAAATTGTAAATAAATTGCATATCAAAACTTTCAATAGTTGTTAAATCGTTATAAAAGATGTTATTTTCAACAACGACTCTAAAAAAAGAATACAAAAGTTGCATAAAATTAAAAAAAAAATTTATTTACTTTATTTAATTATTAAATTTTATTTAATTAAACTTGATATTTCGTTACAATTTTGTTTCCTTTTTTTAAGATTGTTTTTTTTTTTCCTTAGTAAATAAGTATAGCTTTTTGCGGCAAATTATCAAGACACTAAGTTAAAAGATGCAAACTGCAATAGTCGGTTTGTCTAAAAAATTACTTTAAATCTGGACAAACAAGGCATGCAACTGCAAGTGCTTCCCAGGAAAGCTTGTACTATTATTAATCATTTTTAATATATATTACTTACATAATAATATATTTGTTTTTATTATATATTTTTCCATATTTTTGTTTAATTTTTTCCATATCTGCATTTCTTTTTTTTTTCACTTATAAGCTTCATAAAAGAGTTTCATAACAGAATTTTGTTAGAATGAATTCACCTTCGCTTGATACATCTAATAAATGATTTATTAATATAATTGTTTTACTCTATCTAATGAATTAATTTCTTGCGATTTAATTTGTCATAAAAGTTATCAGCAGGCAAATCTAAACTAAAGATAAGAACTTTTTCAATGGAAAACATGCTACTCTTTATATTTTCTCTGCGTCTATAAATATACATGTCCAATTATAATCCACCTTATGTAAGAAATTACATATGTCCAAATATTATTTTTCATGGATCATAGCGCGAGAATCTTTTTCGACCGAATGAAACCAGAACTTATACTATTAAACACACATTTAGTAAATTTTGACACCAATTCCACCAATTCAGACAATATTTCTTAGAAGAGCTGAGTTGTTTTTTGTTGTTGTTGATATTTTGACATCAATCCAGCTTTTGAAGTAGCACTCAAAATTTACTGTGTAAATTTAATTGTACCTTAATCTAAATGACGACATTTCATAAAATTAAACCAACTTTTTACAAATTTAAGTATTTTCAAGGTTTGATATTTTGTTTACAACCAAATGAAACAAACTTTGAGATTATGTTACCTGTTTGAAAAAAACTTTAATGTCACATGAATATTTAATATGATATAAAAAATATTTATTCATTAAAACAATTATATTGCAGATAATCAAAGCTAAATACAGAAAATCAAAACTAAAATAATAAATAATTTTTTATTTATATAAGTTGTAGTAATTTTAAATGGTAATATTGAAAAATGTTATTTTAAGAAGATATTTTTAAATTTTTCTTTTGTCAAATTAAAAAAATTTAAGTAAATAACAAAATTTCTTAAGATCAACATCTTAAAACATTTTGTTGTACAAGTAAAAAAACTAATGGAAAGGTTCTTAAAACCAACATTGTATACTATCTAACGACAATAAAAGAAAACTAATGAATTCGATATCACCATAACAATTTCATAACTTTTTCTGTTTTGATAAAAAGCATAACAATTATAATCTAAATTAATTGCACAACAAATTTAAAAAACCAATATTAAAAATATTATATTTGTTAAAAATTGTATTCAAAAATAAAAATGATAAGAAATAGTAGTAGTAGTAGTAGTAGTAGTAGTAGTAGTAGTAGTAGTAGTAGTAGTAGTAGTAGTAGTAGTAGTAGTAGTAGTAGTAGTAGTAGTTGTTGTTGTAATCTCTGTAGATTCCATAAGCCATACACTCATATATTATTGTTATTAAATAGAATTTAAAGCAGCATTAAAATAAAATTTAAAAAATCAAAAAATTTGTACCGGAATTTTAAGCTTAACAGCATCTACTGGTTTAGCAAAAGGCCATGCAAATTGGTGTCTTTGAATCTGCCTCATTACAGTCTTTAATAAAAATTGAAGCTGATTTGTAGTTCGACCTTTCTTTTGGGCCCTTTTTGGCGGCATACTCGTCTTTTAAAAAATCAACTAACATAACACAATCTTTATTGATAACTTATATTATTATTGCGATACTGTAACGCAAAAAAAAACGAATAAAAACTGCATAAGTTAAATATTTCAATAAGTTGAAAGCGCCATTCTTCGGGCTTTGAATAAAAATTGAAAATTAAATAAACAGACCGGAATATTGCAAATTTTAATTTACTGACTTAAGGCATAATAAGTCAATATCAAAACATTTTAAAATAAAAGTTCTGTAAGGATTGGTCTTGATATTTGATACACAGTCTATCTTTTAAAAACAATGTAAAATTTTTGTGTTCAAAGGAGTGGTGGTTGTACAAGAAAAAATTACTGTTTCTTACTAAATTAGAACAAATATAAGCTTATAAACTACATTTAAGATATTTTTCATCGATTTATTTCAAATAGCATATTTCCGTATTTCACTTTTAAATCATCAATTTACTTTTTACAACAATACAATTAAATTAAAAACTTCATTTAACTTTTGGCTTCGTTTAAAAAAATGGCCGTTACAGTATATATTTTATGAACTGGGTAAATGAATATTAGAAATTTTTAAGGCGAGAAATAACACAAAAATACCATTTTAACAGAGAAGTTGCATCCGCCGCAAACTTTTTTCGACTGGACATAAATCCAATGCGACGGATTGCAATAGATATTAAAGCGTTATTTATCGTTTCTTCGTCGCCCTCCATTTTGAGGATAAGGCGAAGAAAGTAGTTTATATGAATAAAATGTAAGAAGCCCCCCGCAAAGCGTAAAACTCGTGATGTAATGAGCTCATCAAATAATTATATTTGTAATGAATGAACAAGTACGACTCATAAATAAAAGTTCTCCTTCGTATAAACTGCTTATATATTAAAAATAATTTTGGCGGAAACATTTTAATCAGAATAGTGAATTTAAAAGAATTATGAGTACTTACATTCAAATAAAAATATTAAATTTAGCATAATGGTAAAAAAATATTGCGAAAGTATCCTTGCTTGTAGATGATATGTAATTGTATTGAATCATTCAAAATTTATTTCCCTCATTCTTAAGGGAAATAAATTTTATTTGAAATCTTCAGATAAGCGTTTTTTTTTTTTTTTTTTAATTAAATAATTTAAATTAGTATAATAAATAAAACTTGTTTCCATTTTATAACTATTTTTATTATATCATAAAATGATCACAAAAATAAAGTGACATTTTTCTAATGAACAATCGGTTTACTGTTCAAATATAGTATATACTGAAAAAAGTTGCAGCTATTCAAAAATTTTATAAGTATATATAGTAACTAATCTTAAGTTAACACCTTAAACAATACAGAGAATGATAACAATAGTAACATTAAATAAAAATGACAATAATAACTATGTTAAGAATAATATTACCTGTAACAATAATAGTTATTGTAATAATTATTAGTTAATAATTATTACAATTTAAATAATAGTTAAAATAATTGTAATAATTTAGTATTGCTAAAAATGATAAACAATAAAAAATAGTATTTTAAGAATTATAATTATTATTGATGATATATTTTAAATATTATATAATAACAATTATGTTAAATAGTACTTATATTACAATTAACTCTGATATATTGCACAATAATAACTATTTGAAATAACAATATTAATAATAATGCTAATAAGAATACTGGTATTAAACATTAACAAATAAACTAAATAAATACAAATAAACAAATAAACTAAGTATTGATAATAATGAAAAATAAAATGGCTCTCAAAAATAGTTGAACTATTATTACTAATGTCACAAAGTAGTCATTATAGTTTAAAGAAAATTTTAGTGTTCATGGTTTGAAATTTGAGTGGTATTGATGTTCTTTATATCTATATTGATATCATTTTTTTATTTAAATATGACCATAGTAAAAGAGTTGAAGGAATATTTTACAATCAGATATCCTGTGTTAGTTTGTTTTATCAGCTTTGCCTACACTCACTTTTTTTAATTTTCCTTGAAGTTCATTTTTTTGTTTTTAAAATGTTTGTAGTGATTTTAATTGAAAAGGGAAGTTATTCTGTGTTTTTGTGATTCAGGGTTGTTTAGATTCAAAACTTTAAAACTTTAATAATTGAAATAAAGTTGATTATTATTTTCTCTATATAAAATAAAGATATTGAAATCAGGAGGTTTTCTGTTGTTAGTTTTAAACTAATAGAGAATAATTTAGAAATTAATAAAGTAGGGGATGTTATAGTTGGAATCACAGTGTTAGAAATAAATTGTTTTCAAGACTTTAATAATGATGATGATTTCTATATTTTTTTTCTTTTTAGAATATCTGAGATTTAACAAAATACAATCAAAGTGGTAACCTTGTTGAATGGGGTAATAACATTGTGCAGGATAAGAAGAAATCTTTAATGAATTTAGTTAATAATTTAATCAGCAAATCATTATGAAGACATGCTAAGAAATGGTTTTTTTTTTAGTATTAGTGAAAAAATATGGAGTTACCAAATAACAGCATCATTTCATTATACTGATGTAAAAAGCAATATTGTATATTTTATGTCAAGTCAATAGAAGTTACTTTTGATTGCTATTCTGGAAGTTAATGAATTTAATGTTGAATAGATGTAAATAACAGTTTTAGTGTTTTAAATGTTGAATAGATGTAAATGACAGTTTTGTGCTACTAAAGAAGAATACATTTGTAATAAAATGTGAAAGCGACAAAACAAAAAAGTACTTCATTAGCAAAATTGTTCAGCCCATTAAAGTTTTCTTCTTTGTAAAAGCAGCCCTAAATGTCTGATATGTTAAGAGGTTTAAGTTCTTATGTATAAATTTTAACTGAAAAAAAAAAAATTCACAAACTCAACTAAACCTATAGCAATTATAAGAAGCATTACCCAATAAGTGTTAACCATTATTGGCAGTTAATTTTATAGTTAAATGTTGGAATTAATAAGCATCTGACCAACAAATAGTGTGTGCTTCAGAGTTAGCAAGAAAATTAATACTCCATGTCCACTTTCTCTGCCTGTTGATCAGATTCTTACAAATAGAATCACATTAAAAGATGGTTTTACTTTTGGAAGTAGTTTGGATTTATTAATTTTTTTTATCAGGGGAAAAAACAACTTTCTGCCAATGAAGTGAACCTATCGCGGAAACTTACTTTAATAAAAGAAAAACTATAGAATAGCTAATGAATTATTGTAAGGTAATCTACCTTTTAAAATAGTTAAAAATATAGCAGAAAATAAAAAATTTAAATTACACTCATCTAACTGCAACAATATTGTGGGTGTTTATGCAACGCTACAAAACAGCATTATTAGTATTGCGTATAAAAAAAATGTTTTTTTTTTTATCTTTTATGTTTAAAAATATTGTAGCATGAGAATTATAGGGTCTATTTTTTTATTTTTAAAGAATTAAACAATTAAAGTTTTATTAATTGATAATAAAATTAAAAAATACTTAAAAAATATTGATAATAATAATATATGTCTAATAATGAAACCTAAATAACATTAACAACTTGTAATTTATAATTATCAAGTATAACAGCATTGAAACATTTTTATAATTAGATATTGAAAGTTGAGTTCTTGCAACATAAAAAAATACAGATAAGCATCTGTATTTTTTTATGTTGCAAGAACTATAATTCTCATGCGACAATATGGTGGTTATTTTTTACCAAATATAATAAATTATATTAAATTTATAATGAGTTTGTTCATTTTATTAGCATTGTTGTTCTTTAAGGAAATGGTAAGGAAATACCTGCAATTTATAAGGAAAGGTTTAGCAAATACCTACAATTGATAAGGTTTAGGTTGTGAGAATTAGATAAATCTATACACTGAACATTCCAAATTTACTTTTTCAAATGTACTTAAGTAAATTTTTAACATATTACTCAAGTGGTAAATAAATGTCCCTGTTTATTTCACTTTTTATTTCGAACCTAATTTAAATTTATTTATCAAATATTTCAAAAAACTCTCTATAACATATTTATTGTGACTTTCTTGTTAATCTAAAAGTAGGTGTTGTAGATGTTTTTATATATTTTAAAAGGTGTGGAGCTAAAAATAAAAACTTTATGTAGTTTAATATATCTTATAACTTCATTCTTCCTATATTTTCCACAATTTTTTTAAAGAAATTTTTTTAGCTTTAAACATGCTAAATGAAATCAATTATCACAACTGTCACAAGCTAGCATTTCTTCCTCAACAAAGGATGTTGCCTTGTTATTATTAATACGATTAGCAATTTGTTAAAAGTTCAGGCAAAATATTCATGCATCAAAAATCATTTATTTTAAACTATAGATAAACTTTTAATTATATCTATATCTAAAATTAAATTTTTTTTTAATAATTTAAAAATTATTAAAAAAAGTTAAATATATTAAATTAGAATTTAATAAAAAAATTAAATTCGCGTTACATGAAACTATTCAATTTTTAATTTAAATTGAATGTACACATTTATTTTAAAAATTTCCTTATTGTTTCTTTTTATGTTTTCTTAAGTTTAAAAACAATTTGCGAAGTCTACCATTTTGAATGGAGATAATAACATTGCAATCACATGACAACCGCGACCTAATCAATAAAACCTTGAGTTTGCGTGAAGTCTTTTATCCTTAATAGTCATGCTTAAAAGCATGCAAGCGCGGCACTATAAACTTAAAGTGAATGTAAGTAAATAGTCGTAACACTGATTATTTTTGGCAATAACTTAAAAAGATATTGTTTGGCATTACAACAAAGCTTAAGGCAGATTTTTTTTTTGTTATTATTTTGCTGTTGTTATTATTCATATTCAATATAAAATGTTGTACAATGTTTTCCACGAACATCGTGTAATAAAAATAGTAAAATTAGTAAATATAATAAGTAAAAAACAATATATATATATGTGTGTGTGTGTATATATAAGGACAGCTGCTGCCCAGGACAAACTGTCCATTTGGCACTCCCCTATCTAAGTTTTTAGGCTGGTTGAATAAAAAATGCAATTACTTTTACTCAGTAACTGGTCAGCTTTTCGTGAATAAATACTTTAGCAATTTTGCTCAAACTTTTATTATCGTAAAGCTGAACAATTACTCGGCGTTTTTGGCTTAGCTTTATGTGAGTTTGCTAAAAAGAATTTTCGCGTAAAGCTGAACAATTACTCCAAAAACGCTGAGTAAAACAGGGCCGACGACACCGACTTTTAACCCAATCTTCTAGGAGTTTATGATATCGAGAGTCAACAGTACTAATATTTGGTAATTATTCGGTATTCGGTTACTTTTTTTAAAAAATTTGGTATTCGCCTGAGTATTGCAAACTATTCTGCCGAATTTCAAAGAGATTGTTGCAAAAAAACGCATAAAAAGTAATTACATAATACTATTTTTGTAAATTTTTTTTCACTTTAGTAAATAATTAGCATACTTGGTACATAAAATCTATAGGTGATAAGTTATGATAAAAACATTTCCATCGTTTAATGATAGAAAATGATTGCGCAATTACAAATACTTTAAAAAAAAATACATTTACTATGTACTCTGCTATCGGCAGATAATAAGAAAACATTAGCAAGCTCTGTTAGGACAACGTTTTGCGTTTGCTGACTAGCACTTGTAAGAGTTTGCTATTCATTTTAAGCAAACAGTTTTATGTTGTTGTTGTTTTTTACTTTTTTTTCCCCACATTTTCATGTGTGCGTATTTTGTGTGAGGTTGGTTTGTTCGTTTTAATTTATGTTTCTTTTTGAGATAAACAATAACCGGTTTTACGAGACATCACTGATGATTCATCGGTATCAAGCAGCCTTTTACTGAGAAAGATTAAAATTTGACTAATCTAACCACATCAAAATTGTATTCAGAGCATGAAACTTTGTTTTTGTTTTGCTTGTTATGTTTTAACTAATCTCCGTAAATTAACTTTGGAATGTAGATCAATAAAAAAAGGAAACCGTATAACTGTCATTCCCTTCAAAGTTAAACCGTGTTTTAAGTTCAGATTATAGTGAAGATATCTTCAAAATATGTTTGGAGTACTTTTTTCTATATCTATCTACAGTAACTAAAATCTCCACAGAAATGCAAGAAATACCGAAGCTGGTTACACATGAGCTGGTTATTTTTGTAACCTTTTCGAATGGTTTGAAGAGTATGATACTTTTATACATAACTAAAGTTAAATCAATTTGATGTAACAGTCAACATATAACCTGTGTTGTGACAAGACCTAGTCACAAAAAAAATAAATAAAAACGCCCACAGCGTAGTTAACATATGTACTTCAATAAAGCAGTTCAGAACCTTCAAAATAACTAAAAATCCTAATAAATAACTAAATTTCCCCGAATATTCGGAAGCTGGCAAATTTGGAAGCTGACGAATTCGGTGAACTGACCAAGCATCTAGTCAAATATTCGGTATTTAGTAAAATCATTATTTATGTTATATCTAATAAGTAGCTACCATTTTGAAGTAAACATTGTGTTTAAACAAAGTAAAAAGATGCTGCGTTTATAGTTTAACAAATGTTTACAGCTATCCCAACTTGAACTTTTTTATTTTGCTTGCAGAAATGAGATATAGCTTTAGTCTAGTGTTTTTTTTTTTGTTGTTTTTTTTAAATTATTATTATTATAAATTTGTTGCTGAAAATAATTATAACTCTCGCATCTGTAAAAAAAAAAAAGGCGGCGGCAAGAAGAAGACAAAATAGTATTATTGCCAAGTCCCCAAGTAGTTCCTAGACTTTTTTGTTTAATTCCTTCTTTTGCTCTTTAGTTGAAAGTAATTCATTGTAGTTGAAAGTTAAAAAAATACATTATTAGTAGTAAAAAAATTAAAAAATCTTTTTTAATATAAATTTAAAACAACTAATACTAGCTTGCTTATTTTACACAAGGTCCTAATGTCTGACTCTCTGAGTTACTTTTGCTTTCCCTCATTCCTTCCAAAACGCATAAGAGCATTAAAATGGATGTTTTCTAAATGTTTGTTATTTAAAATCCATATTTCTGAATTGAGAAAAAAATTTCTTGCGTTTAAAATCACTATTTGAGTATTGTAGTGGTCAGTTAATATAATTGGCTTAAAAAATACTTTTATATTTTGTCTGCAATTTCTGCTGATACAGAAGCAATCAATTCTAGACTGGAAAACACCGTTAGTGGCTGCAAAGGTATACTCCTGTTTGTTAGGCAACGCCAAGTGTCTTCAATGTCTAAAAGGTTCAAAAGCTTTTTTAATGTGTGCAAGAGGGACATTCAATTTTAAAAATCGCTGGGTATTTGTCTTTATCTGACAAGGTCATGTTAAAATCACCACCCATAACAATTTGAAAATCATTAAAATTTTTATTGCTAAATTGATTATTTAGTTCGTTAAACAAATTTATTCTTAATTTTTGAGAAGTTCCGACACCAGATGGTGGGTAAAAATTAATTATTAAATAAACAAAGCCATTAATTTTTATGGCCACGTAATTGTAATTACCTTTCGATTCATTACCTGATAAAAGTAGTTTTTCATATGCTTAAATAATATTGCGGTTCTGCGCGTAAAAGACATACCAGACGGTGAGTAAAAAACATCACCTTCCCACACATTTTTTAACAAATTATTTTTTTTATTATTTAAATGCGTTTCCTGAATGAGAAAAACGTCATAAGGCTCGTTTTTGAAATTATTAATAATTGTTTTTAGCTTACTTCCGTTATTCAAACCATTAATGTTTGAGGTGTAAAACTTTAAACGCTCCATGTTTATTTTTTAATTTAAATTATATAGTTATTTTGCACTTATTTCTCTTACTTAAACAAAAAAGTCTTCTTTTGTAAATCAGGTGAAAGTTTCTGAGCAAAACCTCAGTATGTAGTAGTGATTAGCAAAAATCATTAAAGTTAAATACTTATAGGTATTGTGGTTTATCCCCCTCCGGCTAGTTGCCATACAGAGACCGGCCTGCAAAGACAAGTTCGGCTCCCCAAGGAGCGTCATAACCCGCTCTACGGACCAAGAGTAAGGTGAGTTTGCGAGAAACGAAGATATTATAGAGTAAAAGTTGGAAGAAGCCGTGTTAAAAAAATAGCATCAATGCCTGCCAACTCGACTCAAAATCCATGAATATATGTGTAATTGATCGTACATTGAATTATGGGATGTATTGCGGGACCATATTATAAGCAACATAAATTTACTGTACATCTTTGTTTTCTGCTAAATATACTAAATACTATAATAT